TTAAACGTGCTGGCGCGGGAGAGTGGGATTGGCAGTTAAAGGAAACTGCCAGGGAATGGAGGGGGGCACACCTCATCAGCAGGGATACCTGCATAATGAACATTTGTATACTTAACCCTGAATTGTACCCCACATCTTTAAAATAAACTAAAAAATTAAAACAACCACAAAATAAACGTGCTAATGTGTACTGTAAATCTTGTTAATGCTAATAATATGCAGTGTAAACCTTCAATATGATATGGTTTCCCCAACTTAGATCACTAGTGAGCAGGTTTTTGTTTTTTGTTTTTTCTGTGGCATCTTTTTTTTTTTTTAAGTTGGAGTCTCACTCTGTCGCCCAGACTGGAGTGCAGTGGCTGCTCCCGGACACCGCAGCCTCGACCTGCTGGGCTCCAGCAATCCTTCTGCCTCAGCCTTCCAAGTAACCGGAATACAGGCATGCGCTACCACGCCTGGCTGATTTTTTTGATTTATTGTAGAGATGAGGTCTCGCTGCCCAGGCGGGTCTCGAACTCGCGGGCTCAGGCAATTCACTCACCTCAGCCTCCCAAAGGCGCGGGATTACAGGCTGAGCCACCGAGCCCAGCTTGTGGGGCATCTTTTAAGTCTTAATTCAAACTTTCCCTATTTGTAATTTTCTAAACTCCTTTAACAGTTACCACTTTTTGGTTATTGTTCTTGTTTAACCGGAAATGTTGTGCTCTGAGTAGATGGAGAGCTCACTCTTCTAGATATCTGTATTCCAACGATTTCTACAATTCAATGTACAAATCTTTCAATTAGGTCCCAGAAGAGTGGGGTGCATAAATGAGTTTTGACATGAAAGATAAGGAATATGAGCAACACAGTTCTTGGAGGAACAGAGATGAGAAAGGTAGGCAATAATAGGATAGATAGGTGATCTTTCAACAGACACTTTTGAGAATGATGTAGTGATGAGCCCTGGGTGAGTACTGGGTATTATTACAAAAAGACTGAGACATGGTCCTCTTGACAGGAAGTTTGACCTGGTAGAGAAAACAGATAGATAGATAGATAGATAGATAGATAGATAGATAGATAGATAGATAGATAGATAGATAACAAATGTAATGTGATAAGTACTAAAGAAAATACAAGTGCTTTTAGATAGATGAGAGAACAAGCCAGGTACAGTGACTCACTCCTGTAATCACAACACTTTGGAAGGCTGAGGCGGAGGATTGTTTGAACCCAGGAGTTCAAGACAGGCCTAAGCAACATAACGAGACCTCATCTCTATAAAAATATCAAAAAATTAACCAGATGTGGTGGCATGTGCCTGTAGTCCAGCTACTGGAGACACTGAGGCAGAAGGATCGTCTGAATACAGGAGGTCAAGACTGGTGAACTGTGAGTGTGCCACAGCACTCCAACCTAGGTGACAGTGAGACCTTAACGCAAAAAAAAAAAAGAAAGAAAGAAAGAAAAGAAACAAAGAGCAATAGATTTTGCATGATTTCAAGAAAGACTTCACAGAGGAACTGAGTTAATTGGTGTGTGCCTGAGTCCTAGCTTCTCGGGAGGCTAAAGCAGAAGGATTGCTTTGGTCCAGGAGTTTGAGACCAACCTGGGCAACCTGGCAAGCCCCATCTCTTTAAAAAAAAAAGGAAAACTTCATAGAGGAAGTGATATTTGATCTGGGCCTTCAAAAATCTGAGCAGAAATTTATAAAAGGCAAAGATGAGGTTAGAGAAAAAAGCATTGTGAACCTGAGCATTATGAACAAATACATGAAGGTTCAAGACACAATACTAAGTCTGGAGTTTGGCTTGATTAGCCTCTGGATGCATACTTAGGTAACATGATCTGGGAAGTGAGTAGAGATCAAGCTGAAAAGGTAGACTGGATTCAGGTTAATAGGCTTCATGCCATGCAAATAAGTTTAGGTTTGAAGGACTTTTTTCTTTTTTGTTGGAGGATTTTAAGCAAATGAGTAATCTCGTGACGGATGACGTTCTGAAATGAATTAGGGTTGGAGTGGGGAAATACAAAGAACAGATAGGAAGGAGGCTTTTGGAATTGTCTAGCCTAGAGATGGGTCTGAAATAGGACAGGAAAAGAAAGACCACATGACAGCATGGTCCAAGTCTACCACCCTTATGCCTACTCAGGGTGTATTTGTAAATGAGTGGAAAGTAAAGACATAGGAACACATTTCTTTAGCTACCAGGGTCTACTGGAACACAAATCAAACTTATACTAACAAATTTGTTTCCCCCAGGGCTGAAACAAAGTAATGCTGTTGTCTATCTTGTCACACATTTCTGAAGATGTAGAAGATTAATAAAATGAGTAAAAGTTGTATGAACTTGAGGGAAAAAGATGTGTCTGTATTCTTAGCAGTATATAATTTCTTATACCTTCCTTTTGGCTTCTAATTCTTCTCTGTCTTCATCTTTGTCTGCCTGGTATAAATTCCTACTTATATTCTTGAAGTTCCAGATCAATTATCACCTTCTCTGTGAAATTATTCTTTTATTTCTTTTTAAGAGATGAGGTCTTGCTAGGTTGCTTGGGCTGGTCTTAAACTCTTTAGCCCCAGCAATCCTCCCACCTTACCCTCCCAAGTAACTAGAACTACAAGCACATACCACCACACCCAGTTCCTCTGAATGCTTGGTTAAGCAAGAAAGAGCAGGGTAGGAGAAACATTCCAGTGTAGGACATGGAAGAGAAGGAACTAGGTAGTCAGGGCAGATTTGGTCTCAAGGATGAGGTCTTTTTCACTTAATGGGGAAGAAGATTACCCTCTTCAGAGCATAAGGATTTATCCCTAAAATGGGTTTATAAGAAATTTTACGATTAAGTTATGGTACCTGGTATGTTGTAAGCCAGTAGATGCATGAATAAGTTGAAAAGATTGCTTTAGAGCAGAGTGATGGCCCAGAAGAAGAGCTAGAATCCCCTGGGGAACAACCAAAAGGAGAGAGGATCTCCATGATTCATTTAACACATGTATTTTGAGCATGAACCAGTATACTAGACCCTGAAGATTACAAAAATGGATGACTTTTCCTGGAGTCCAGCGTGGTTGGGGAAGCAAGTATATAAACAGACAGTTACAATATATTGTGATAAGTGTTATAAAATAATTGTGCATAAGCACAAAGTAGGCAACCAGCTCCCTGGAAACATTAAGTAGATTTTATAGAGAAGATGACATTTGACCTGGTTCTTAAATGGGTATTTACCAGGGCAAGAAGTAAGGACAAAACATCTCTAGGTTGAAGGAATAGAGTATGCAAAGGCTCAAAAGTAGGACAAAATAGGCTGTGTTTTTATACCATACCTTTCAGGACAATATCTTACATTCAGTTTAGAACATGTTTAGCTACATGGAAGGTGGTAAGTACCTATGCCTCCATTTGGGGAGATAGAAGCTAAGGTTTAGAGATTTTAACTAGCTCAGTGTCATGCGGTATGAGTCAGAGGCAAGAGCTCAGACCAGGCGCCCAAAAACAGGAATGCCAAGTCTCGTGACCTGAGTAATTCTGTGTCATAGTAATACATTGCTGTGGATTCATGAGTATTTGGGGTTATTTTACCTCCTTGGAACTAAATTATACTTCCAAAACTGACTTTGTCAATCCTATCAAATGTTCTTCTTCCTCCTTTTTTTTTTTTAAGTGGGGAGGAGTCTAATAATAAATATTTACTTCCTCCATGAGGTAAGAATGGATCATGAAGTGTTCAAGGCTTCCTTACTGACTGTACATTTAATTCGTGTCTTCAGAAGTTGACTTAATACTTTTTTGAGGTCATTCAGTAACTTTCTCATTTAACATAAAATAGTAAGCAAGTCACTTTCTTTAGGAGACACGTTGTTTATCTACAGTAGTTATTTTGCAGCTAGGTGGGGTAGATTTGCTCAGAACTCCTACAGGATATGAATCATTTACATTCACACATTGACCTATTCTTACTTTGTTCTTTCTGAGAAGAGTTTTAATACAGCCTGTTATATAACATAGGGGACACGTTATCATATATATTTTCAGTGTCATTCTCAAATCAATTTGCAGAATCTGTGATAAGCCTGAGAACTTGAGTTGTTATTATGAACATCTAATGTACATTCAAATAAACAAACGGTAGAATAAATCCAAGAAAATGTTATTGCCCTTTTGCATTCATTGTTTGAGGTCTTTGGATATTGGGGGAGAGTGTGGAATAGGGGATAACAAAGTGCAAATGACAATACCTCAGCTTGCTATCATTGATCTGTTTAAAAATAGTGTGATTGGCCAAGCATAGTGGCTCACGCCTGTAATTCCAGCACATTGGGAGGCCAAGGCAAGAGGATCGCCTGAGCCTAGGAGTTTGAGACCAGCCTGGGCAACATGACAAGATGTCATCTCTACAAAAAATAAAAAATTAGCCGAGTGTGGTGATGTGTGCCTGTATTTGGGAGGCTGAGATGGGAGGATCACAAGTCCAGGAGGTAGAGATTACAGTGAGCTGGGATTGCATCACTGCACTCCAGCCTGAGCTACAAAGTGAGACCCTGTCTCTGCAAAAAAGAAAAAGTATATTTTAACTGTTATTGCTGTAGCTCTTTATTTTACAAATGTTCTGTTCTTCCATGTAAACAAATTCTAGTCTCTCTAAATATAGCAAACTATTGAAAGAAAATAGTTTTGTACCCTGTTATTTATGAAACTTGCTGTGGCAAGCCACTGCTAAAGCAGCTTCAGTTATGACAATAATTGGTGGAAATTCAGGCCAAATGTGATATTTCCCCCATTTTTTAAGGGAATGATTTTTTTTTTTTGGACTTTCAAGAAGAAATTTATTTTCTCACATGAGGTATGTTTTACAGATGGTAAGACATGCTCATGTGTGTGTGTATATGTATTCTTTTCTCTGCATTATGTGATGGTGGGGTAGTGCCACACAGTGTTAACCCTTGTGAATAATGTCTGTCTTGGTTAGATCATCCTTCCCTTACTGGTATCTCTTCCTGTTTCCTTACCCAGTTATGCTGTTATTGCCTATGGCTGTGCCAGTTGCCCGAAGCTAACCTGTGAGAGGGAAGGCTGCCAGACTGAGTTCTGCTACCACTGCAAGCAGATATGGCATCCAAACCAGACATGCGATATGGCCCGTCAACAGAGGGCACAGACTTTGCGAGTTCGGACCAAGCATACTTCAGGTCTCAGTTATGGGCAAGAATCTGGACCAGGTACATAAGTTGGCATTATCTCATTATCTCTTTATTTGGTATTTCATGATGTGAGCCCAAAACTGGAAGAGACTGTCTTACTGTATAACTCAAGTATTACCAGGGCTCAGAAAGCAGAAAATATCATTTGTAGTATTTTCAATATTATATTTGAGCTACAACTTCCCTCTTTACCCCATTATAAGTTATCCAACCCACATAAAACTGAAATACAATAAAATTGAATTGTCTAGTTACCAATATGTCTCATATTTGGAGAGTAATTAGATCTTTTTGCTATGGGCTTTTTCAAAATGTTCATTGTGAGCAGAAAGACATTTAATTAATGTTAAACCTGTACCATTCACTTTTAAGCTGTAAGTACATCACTACCTTTAGAAGTAAGGTACAGATTTTTTTTAAAAGGCAATAATATTAGTATGGATTAATGATTAATCCTAAAAGGAGGAATGTCACACATTCAGTTCCAGCCTTGATAAGTCAGAGTAAACCTATTTTAAAATGTCAGTGGATTTATTGCCTTGTACTTTATTTCACTGATGTCATCTGGGGGAGTAGGAAAGATTTTACCACTCACTTTTTCCTGGCACAGAATAATCTCTTGAGTTGTCATTTGAATAGGATAGTTTCTAACTTGCTGTGAAAATTATCAGGTGTATGCTACATAGCATACCCAGTTGTTACTAAGTTTTGAATTTAAAAGTATCATGGAAAAGGATTGTAAGTTGTGTTAATAGCAAATCACAGTGATACTTGTTGGACTGAAAAATTAGTTTCCTGAACTAAAGTTTTTCAAAACTTAAAGCCAATTCCAGGCTGCAGACTATTCTTCTTGTAGGATTCTGCTTCTAAATCTGCCAGCCTATTTATTGGTAGAAACTCCATTTTTCTTGGAAACATCTTTCTCTCTAGAGAAGTCTTCTTGCTCAAAGTGTGGTTTAAATGCTGTATAAGACACCAGTTATTGGGATAGGCAGATCAGTATGAGATAGGATTCGTTTTATTAAAAGCCCTGGGATCTAAATGTAGCCAGCCTTCCAGTAAAGTTAGTTGTACAATCTTATGCACTTCTCATTTTTTTTTTAGGTTAGAAAATAGAGTTTATTTAGAAAGTAAATTAGGGAGAGAGAGAGAGAGAAAGATTCACCTCCCCAAGGTAGGAGAGGGGGCCAAAGTTTAGGAAACATGGTGGTGGCCATAGCTCAAAGAGCCATGTGGCCACCCCAAATTTAGTCAAGCAATGGCCTCATTTCTTATATATACTCCTAATAATTAAGCTAGATTTAACTGGGGGAATTTTTCTATCCATTCTTCCTTACCACCTTAGCAGATGACATCAAGCCGTGCCCACGATGCAGTGCTTACATTATCAAGATGAATGATGGAAGCTGTAATCACATGACCTGTGCAGTATGTGGCTGTGAATTCTGCTGGCTTTGTATGAAAGAGATCTCAGACTTGCATTACCTCAGGTAAGGTAGAAAATGCACCCATTGCTTTTATAGTCTTGTTCTCTTTCTTATTTAGGGGAATGGATGTCAAACAGATACAGCTGTCCTCTCATTATAGAATAAGGAACCGTAGGCTGGGTTCGGTGGCTCAGCACTTTGGGAGGCTGAGGTGAGCAGATTGCCTGAGCCCACGGGTTCGAGACCCACCCGGGCAACTTGGTGAGATCTTGTCTCTGCAATATATCAAAAATTAGCCGGGCGTGGTAGCGTGCGCCTATAGTTTCGGCTACTTGGAAAGTTGAGGCGGAAGGATCGCTGGAACCCAGCAGGTGGAGACTGCGGTGGCCAGGAGCGTGCCATTGTACTCCAGTCTGGGCGACAGAGTGAGACTCCAATTCAAAAAAAAAAAAAAAAAGTTCCTCTGACATGCCCCTTTTTCTCCAACTCAGTAACCTCCAGTGTCTGTCTCCATTACTTTCTGGATCACCCCTAACATGGCTTTTAAAGCTTTCCACAGTCTAGCCTTAATCTACTTTTCTAGTTTTTTTAACTTTGCTTTTATTTTATTTTTTATTCATTTATTTTTTTGAATTGGAGTCTCACTCTGTCGCCCAGAATGAAGTGCAGTGGCATGCTCGTGGCCACCACAGCCTCAACCTGCTGGGCTCAGACAATCTTTCTGTTCAGCCTTCCAGAGATAGCTGGAACCATAGGAATGCCTACCATGCCTGGCTAATTTTTTTTATTTTTATTTTTATTTATTTATTTATTTTTTGAGTTGGTGTCTCATTCTGTCACCCAGACTAGAGTGCAGTGGCTGCTCCCGGCCACCGCAGCCTCGACCTGCTGGACTCCGGCGATCCTTCCGCCTCAGCCTTCCAAGTAGCTGGAACTACAGATGCGCACTACCACGCCCGGCTAATTTTTTGATTTATTGTAGAGATGAGGTCTCGCCTGCCCAGGCAGGTCTCAAACCCGCGGGCTCAGGCAATCCACTCACCTCAGCCTCCCAAGGCGCTGGATTTGCAGGCTGAGCCATCAAGCCCAGCTAATTTTTTGATGTGTTGTAGAGATGAGGTCTCACCAAGTTGTTCAAGCTGATCTCCAACCCCTGGGCTCAGACAATCCTTTCGCCTCAGTTTCCCAAAATGCTGGGATTACAGGCTTGAGCCACCAGGCCCAACAACTTGTTCAGTTCTTATCTATCCTTTAAGAGCCGCTTAATTGCCATTTCATCCATGATTCTTCCCCTAGTTTTTTTCTGCCTCATTCTTCTTTATTGACATTCTTTATCCCTTTTGTTTGTTTGTTTGTTTGTTTGTTTTGAGTCAGTCTGTTGTGCGTTGGCACACTCACAGCCACTACAGCCTTGACCTGCCAGGCCACCATACCCAGCTAACTTCTTGATTTATTATAGAGACAAGGTCTCACCAAGTTGCCCAGGCTGGTCTGAAATCCCTGGGCTCAGGCAGTCCTCTCACCTTTGCTTCCCATAGTGTTGGGACTACAGGCATGAGCCATTGCGCCTGGCTTTTTATCTCTTTTGTTTTCATCATAAATACCATTACTACTTTGTTCTTCATACACATGTCTAATTTTACAAAACTATAAGTATCTTGAGGCTGGAATTGTGGCCTTTTTACAATTTTTTTGGAAGTAGTAAGTTTCCAAAGAATTTGTTGAATGGATATTAAAATACTGTTCTAGAGGAATTAATGTTACAAGCAGACTTAGCATCCGTTATGTAAATGAAATGCTTTCATTTCCAGTTTAGCAAACATTTGAGTAGTTACTACATAAGAGTTGTTGGGGACGCAGGAGTGAATAAGACATGATCCCTACTTTCTTTTTTTTTTTGAGTTGGAGTCTCACTTGGTCGCCCAGACTGGAGTGCAGTGGCCGCTCCCAGCCATCGCAGCCTCGCCTGCTGGGCTCTGGCGATCCTTCCGCCTCAGCCTTCCGCCTCAGCCTTCTGAGTAGCTGGAATTACAGGCATGCGCTACCACACCCGGCTGATTTTTTTTTTGATTTATTGTAGAGATGAGGTCTCGCTGCCCAGGCGGGTCTCGAACCAGCGGGTTCAGGCAATCCACTCACCTCAGCCTCCCAAAGGCACGGGATGACAGGCTGAGCCACCGAGCCCGGCTACTTTCTTTTTTTTTGAGTTGAAGTCTCACTCTGTCTCCCAGGCTGGAGTGCAGTGGCACTGCATTCACAGCCACTGCAACCTCTCCCTGCTGGGCTCAGATGATCCTTCTGCTTCAAACCTTCCAAATAGCTGGAGCTACAGGCACGTGCACCATGCCTGGCTATTTTTTTTTTTTTTTTTTAATTGTAGGAATGAGGTCTTACCAAGTTGCCCAGGCTGGTCTCGAACCCAAGGACTCGGGCAATCTTCTCACCTTGGCCTCCCAAAGTGCTGGGATTATAGGCGTGAGCCACGGCGCCTGCCTTTTTTTAAAAAAAACTTATTGTAGAGATGAGGTCTCTCCAAGTTGCCCAGACTGATCTCGAACCCATGGGCTCAGGCAATCCTCTCACCTCAACCTCCCAAAGATCAGGGATTATAGCCGTGACCAACTGCACCTGGCCTATCCCTACTTTCTTTTTTTTTTTTTTTGAGTTGGAATCTCACTCTGTCACCCAGACTGGAGTGCAGTGGCCGCTCCCTGCCACTGCAGCCTCGACCTGCTGGGCTCTGGCAATCCTTCCACCTCAGCCTTCCAAGTAGCTGGAACTACAGGCGCGCGCTACCACGCCCGGCTGATTTTTTAAAATTTATTGTAGAGATGAGGTCTCGCCAAGTTACCCAGGCGGGTCTCAAACCCGCGGGCTCAGGCAATCCATTCACCTCAGCCTCCCAAGGCGCGGGATTACATTACAGGCTGAGCCACCGAGCTGCTATTCTTACTTTCAAAATTGCTTATCCCATTTAGTAGAGAAGATAGCACACAGGGAATAAGCAAAAATGGTTGGGCACAGAAGGGCTGAATGTAAAATTAGCCAAACTTAGAGTTACCAAACTGATAAAAAAAGGTGTGATGAGGTTTTTTTATATCCTTTCCCAGGAACATGATTTACAGTATCTATTAGGTGTGGTAGGGCATATGCCAAGAAAACTATACAAATCAGAGTGTTCATTTGCTGCAGGACACAGTGTATCTAGATGGGATGTCAAGTGCATAGGTTTTGCAGGATCCCAAGTATTGTCAGTCAAGGAAGCTAGGTCATTGTTTGCGAGTTAGGGAAGACAGAATTCAGCAGAGAAGAATGGAAAAGGAGTTTTAAGTCTGGAAGCCTGCCTTTATTAAAAAAAAAAAAAAAATTAAGCCGGGTTCGGTGGCTCAACCTATAATCCCTGTGCTTTGGGAGGCTGAGATGAGTGGATTGCCTGAGCCCGTGGATTCGAGACCCGCCTGGGCAACTTGGCGAGACCTCATCTCTACATAAAAAATGAGCCAGGCATGGTAGCGCGCGCCTATAGTTCCGGCTACTTGGAAGGCTGAGGCGGAAGGATCGTCAGAGCCCAGCAGGTCGAGGC